GCCAACAACAGCCACTGCAGAAGTTCGATCCCCAGCCAGGGAGTGACCCACATGGCGCAACAGACCTCTCCTGTCACACCTGCTGCTCCCCTCAGAGTGTATTTCAGCAGATCTGCCTGTTCTGCTCTCCACTCTTGTCTCTAGTGAATCGTCTCTCTCTCTCACACACACACCCTGCACCTCTGGTCTACTGCTGGCTCTTGTATGCACAAGTAAATAAAATAAATCCTTAAAAAAGATTTATCTCTAGATACAACCAATGAATGTTATGACCTTTACAACTTAATATCTTCTTATACATCTTTCAGGAGTGACAATTCATCCCCATTTCCACAACAAAAACTAGAAAGTTTCACATGTAGCTTCCCAAAACTCTGCAGATTTCCAAGGAATTAAAAATAGCTGTTCACCCTTCTTAGCGTCAGGGATAGAATGAGCTTAAAATACACTCGCCCGGCCCTCCCTGGTGGCGCAGTGGGTTAAAGCACTGCCCTAAGAAGTTAAAGCCACTTCCGCATGAATTCTATCCCCGCCTGCCCCGGAGGTGACCACATGGCGTGGCAGACCTCTCCTGACCCGCCCACTGCTCCCCTCAGCAGTGTACTTCATCGATCTGCTTGTTCTGCTTCCCGCTCTATCTCTGGTGAATCCTCTCACCCTCCGCATCTCTGGCCTATACCCCAGTTCTGTACGAACAAATAAGTAAATCTTTAAAAAAAAAAAAATGCACTTCCCCAATGATTCCAGTGACAAGAGTGAGGCAAATCTCCAGACATTGGGTGACCAGGGCAGGAGGAAAAGAGCAATCGGAAACTGTTGCTAATGTGTAAAGGTTTCTTTGGCAAGTTGATAAAAATGTTCTAAAATTGGACCACAGTGATGGTAGCACAACTTTGTGAATCTACTAAAAAGGCAGAACCAAATACTTTAAATGGGTGTATTTAGAATATGCCAATTACAGGTCAACACAGCTGTTTTTAAAACAGCAATTTCCTTCAAATGAGTTTCACGCTAGACCTGTGTGCTCTATTTGTATTTGCAATTAGTTAAAATAACACATTTTAATCTACTTGGTGAGGGGTATTACTTAAACATTAGTCAACTACTTGCATGACATGTTTGCACCAAATGAAAGGGACAAATATTTGAAGATTTTTTACTAACAAAAGTTAGGAATTCCATCAGAAGCATTCAAAGGTTAATGTGGATCAGAGCAAGGAAATGTGTCCGTGAACCAGAGTGACTAAGAGATGCTGAGACAGAGGGGTGAGAGGACGAATAAGCTGTGCTATCTGAGTCTGCCTGCCATCTATGGGGTGAAGGAAGAGAGCCAAGAAACCAGGCTCCCGGCGCCTGCTGAGACTGGTCCTGGGTGGGACCCACGGGCCACACTGGCACTCCTCTGCACCACTCTTCCTGCAGAAAGCCACACAAACATCTTCAGTTTGCCCTTAAAACACTCCCTAAACTATGATGAAAAATGACAGGCTGACAGTGGCAAGAGAAGCTTTTGGTGAAAAAAAGATATCTGGGTCCACAACCTCTTAGAAGAAACCCTTAGGGCAAGGTGTGTTTTGGAATTCAAATTTAAGAATGGGAAACACAAATTTTAAGTACTACATAGCCCAAGAGCTGGGTCTGGACCAGAAGTCCATGAGCAAATGTATCACATTCCTGCAAGAAAATATTTGTACACCATGGGAATGGAGTAAAACCTACTCTGAGTCCCAGATCAGCTCAGGTTAGGGATCGCCACCAAACAGGTTGTGAAAGCTTGATTTTCATTCTGTGTATAAGGAGCTGTACACCTGACAGGTATCTCACTATTATCGCTATGACCAAGTAAATTCACCTCCAGTCTGGCTGTCTTCATGCAGTCACTTCTTCAAGATAACTGAGTAAACCAAATTTTACTTCAGATGGAGTTAACAGACTAAGCCAAATATGAGTCTCTCCTATAAAATAAAAGAGAAATAAATACTTACTCTGGGTAACATATGCACCAAAAAGAATCCACATGGAAGCAATAAGTGACCCAAACATCAACATGAAACCAATGAAGAGCCAAACACGAGCACCTGTGTGAGGAATAGGCTTTAGGAACATGGAATTGTAGAAACACTATTACCCACATGCCATACATCTCAAAGACAGGTACATATATGCTGCCTGATGATTAACTGAAGATTAAAAAGACAAAACTGAAATTTTAAAAACCCTTAAAATTAAATGGACTATAACCCACACTTGAAAGAGGATAAAGGGAGAGTTACCTTTCCAGTGGGCAGAGGACTATTAGCCTAAGCAAACTAAACAAGGAAAGTCTCGTAAGTGTCACCTGACTACATTCATCAAACCCTAACTAAAAAATTACCCCTTGGTGTGTACTGCAAAGTGTAACTGCTCTAGGAAAAACAGCAAATGTGTTTCAGAGAGCCATCAGCCTACACAAGTGAGAGACTACAAATGAGTAAGGCCCCCACATTAATGTCAGAATTACACCACTACTCAATATGGGCAAACAGTGGCCAACTCAGGACAGTCTTTTGTGGCCGAGGCAGCCAACCTGTACCATATGCCCCTGTGAGGTTCAAGCTTAGAAGCAGCTCTTCAACCCTCTACTGTGCAGAGTTCTGGAACTTACACAGCAAGATCTTAATAAGTAATCTGGAGGCCTGAGTAGGCTCAACACATTTTTTGGGAAAGCAGGTTAATTAACATCTGTACCAGACCTTGGACACAGGTACCTTGCAGCCCATGGTCCCACGGAAGAAAATTAAAGCTCCCCTGAAGCGAAAATCAAATCCATGCCAATTTTCATTATATAAAGCTAAATGTTTTCAATCACAGATACTCTGTTACTGAAGAGATTCATATATTTTAGACACCAGATATGAAGGAAGGTCTAAATCAAAGCACAGCATTGTTAGAAGAGCTGACATTTGAGATATATGGGTCTATTAATTATCTAAATTTTAGTATAAGAAGCAGATCTCCAGAAATACACCATGATGTTTAGTTGCCTGGAGAAGGAGAAAGACAAACCCAAACTATGTAGGTGAATAAAGGGGACTATCAAAAATCTCATTAAACAAGAAAAGTTTCCTTGAAAAATGAACAAACTTTTGTTTTGCAAAAAAAAAAAAAAATTCTAAACACATATTTGGGTTGACTACAAGGAAACTCATATGTCAAGGGACATATAAGAGCACCACCTTGTCCCGGATTTCAGGTAGATCTTTTCCTCCTGACTCCAGTTCCATTTCATACTTTACTATTCACTATTTCCATCAGAGTACACTTACTATTCTGAATATACTTTCTTGCAAACTCTTCTGGAGATTAAATGGGGGAAAATGACAAATAAGTCACATAAGGAGTGTGAAAGCTTAGTGTGGTGGTGTTTGCGCATGCCTGGAAGACAGTGTGCCCTTAACTCTCGAGGCATCAGACTTCTGAACTTGCACTACACACACCACACATAAACACAGACTGAAACATGAATTTTAACTGGGTAGAGAATAATCATGGAATAAAGCCTAAGACTCAGTGAGGGTATAAAATAATGGTTTTCAGAGCCATGCCCAATTCAATATATGATCCACTTTTCAGCTGAGTGACAATAAAATTTTCTATTAAGAACAGACAGTAGTGACATAAATCATGGCAGTATCTGTGGAAACATCTTTTGAACAAAAATGATCAAAGAAAGTATTATGTGCTCTATACACAGTATTTTCACTGGTTAGTACATGCTTTCTTTTCTCTCCTCTCCCCCATTCCTGACTTCACCTGCTGAGACTGGGGCACAGGACAGGTAAGTAGTGACCACGTGCATGTGCACAGGCTGACGTGAGCTCACCCGTCATCTGTCACTAGTTTTCATGGGTCCCAAATGAAGTGAAGTCATGAAAACTGTATCAGCATTTAAAGCATAAGGTAGGATAGAAAATTAATGTGACCCTCTGTAACTGTTTTATCTCATTCAGTCCTCCAGGTACCTCGGTGTTGTCATATACAGCAGGATTTCGTTCTTTTTTAATTCCACTTATATGATGTACCTATGCTAACCTGCACTCACAAAAACAGAAAGAGTAGAATGGGAGATGCCAGAGGTTGGAGGGTGGGAAAACAGGAGCTGCCATGCAAGGTTCTGAAGTCTAGTTCTACGAGATGAGTGAGCTCAGGAGAGCTGTTACACATCCATGCGCCTGTAGGCAACAATACAGTATTGTGCACTTGCACTTTAAAAACCTGTTGAGGCCCTCCTTGGTGATGCAGCGGGTTAATGCACAGCACTAAGAAGCTAAAGCCACTTCAGCATGAGTTCGATCCCCGCCTGCCCCGGAGGTGACCACATGGCGTGGCAGACCTCTCCTGACCGGCCTGCTGCTCCCCTCAGCAGTGTACTTCGTTGATCTGCCGGTTCCACTCCCCGCCCTATCTCTGGTGAATCCTCTCACCGCCCCTGCACCTCTGGCCTGTACTCCAGTTCTATACGAATAAATAAGTAAATCTTTTTTTAAAAAAAACTGTTGAGGCCCTCCCTGGTGGCGCAGCGGGTTAAAGCACTGCACTGAGAAGCTAAAAAGCCACTTCCGCATGAGTTCAATTCCCGCCTCCCCGGGAGGAGACCACATTGCGTGGCAGACCTCTCCTGGCCCGCCCGCTGCTCCCCTCAGCAGTGTACTTCGTTGATCTACCTGTTCTGCTCCCCACTCTGTCTCTGGTGAAGCCTCTCACCGCCCCTGAGCCTCTGGCCTGTACCCCAGTTCTATATGTACAAATAAATAAATCTTTAAAAAAAAAAAAAAAACTGTTGAAAGAGTTATGTGTATGTTCTCACCACAGTAAAACAATAAATTTAATTAAAAGATGTTTTTAAAAGCTAAACTCTTTTACAGCTCCTTTATTTGTTTAAAATGTTATGAAACTTACTATATGATTCCACTTATATAAAGTTCTACAAAAGGCAGAACTATAGAAATAGAAAGGACATCAGCATGGCCAGGATGTGGGGAGAAGGAGATACTAGGGAATTTTGCAAGGTAATGTAAATCTTTTATATCATAATTGTGGTGTTATTTACACAACAAATTGTACATTTTAAATAAAACTGGTCAATTTTTTTTACATAAATTATAATTGATCTAGGCAATAACACACACAATGATCAATATAGAAAAAAGCGTAACCTGCTTACAGATGTCAGTAACACTGAATCTTTTAACAAAAAATGTTGTTCATAGTCATTACCCATACCCAAATAAAGACTCACTGGAGCTTTGATTTTTACACAGTAACAGCACAAAGTGCCTTTACCTGTTCTTCCTAAACAGCCGCTCTCGTAGCTGTCACCTCTCACCTGAGCATTGGACACAGCATTTATCCTAAAACAAACCAAGATCACCTAGTCAGCTTTCACACTGCTAAAACAACCGCAGATCACATACATATCACTTAGAAAGGGATTATTATTTCTTAACAAAAAGATCTGAATAAACATACCTTTTAACTTAACAAATAGCCTACTGGATAAAAATGTACATCTTGTTTCCCTAAATTATATTCAGAAAACTTCCATAATTTAAAGAAATTACTATCATGTATCTCTAAAGATTATGAAAAGGTGCCAATTTTCTGATACCTTTACCTAATTTACATTTATGCATGAACTCCTCAATGTCAGTTAAGGTTTTCATTATAATCAAGAGCCTAAAAGTGTTTCCTTATGTTAAAAGTCAAGGGATTCTCTCTAAATCATTTCCCAAACTCCAAAAAAAATGTCTGTCTAGGGTAGCAGCCCACTTTATTTAGCTTCTTTCCATTTTTGTTGCAGCAAGGTATATTTGTAGCAGAACTGCCTTTCCTTAGCATCAGTGGATATGACTATTCCATCTACACTTTAAACCTTTTTTTAAATTTCTGACAGATAAGGAAATTATGTAATTTTAATGTTTACTTTTTTCATTATTAAAAGACAACCAGGCCCTCCCTGATGGTGCGAGGGGTTAAGTCTCGTCACTATGAAGCTATTCTCAGCACTGCAGCATGAGTTCAATTCCCGATCAGGGAGCTGACCCACATGGCACAGCAGATCTCTCCTGTTTCACTTGCTGCTCCCCTCAGCAGTATATGTCAGAAGACCCACCTATTCTGCTCCCTACTCTGTCTCTGGTGAATTTTCTCACACCTCTGGCCCCTCTGGCCTGCACCCCAGCTCTTGTATACATAAATAAATCTTAAAAATAAAATAAAGGCGCAGCGGGTTAAAGCACAGCATTAAGAAGTTAAAGCTATTTCCGCATGAGTTCGATCCCCGCCTGCCCTGGAGGTGACCACATGGCGTGGCAGACCTCTCCTGACCTGCCCGTGGCTCCCCTCAGCAGTGTACTTCGTCGATCTGCCTGTTCTGCTCCTCACTCTGTCTCTGGTGAATCCTCTCACCCACCACATCTCTGGCCTGTACCCCAGTTCTGTATGAATAAATAAATAAATCTTTAAAAAAAAATTTATAAAAAATAAATAAATAAAATAAAAAGTCTTGTAAGAAGTGAGATATCAGATAAATCTGAAAATGATTTAACAAAGAAAAAAGCCATTCTTAGTTGAGGCCAATCCTCCCCTCTGCCCAAACATGGCCAAGCAACACTTTAAAAAAACAAACAAAAACACTCTGTAGCTTTTTATTTAATTAAAGGTGATTCACTACTAACAAATCTAGAAATATATTACATTAGTCTAAGATGCCACTGATTCTTAAGATGTACCATTAGTTTTTATACTACAAAAAGAAAACCTGTCATCAATTATAAGATAACCCTGACTATAAAAAACACCCTGATATTCAGGAATATTAATATAAAAAACAATCTTGGGACTGATAAAATATAGTAATTAAACAATTTAACAAAGATAAGAAAGATCACATGATAATCTAAAAAATACTAAATAAGTTAAAAGGAATTGACTAAATTCAATACTCATTCATGCTGCATCTTAATAAAGAAAGGATATATATATATATCTCACATTAAAGAAACCATCAATTAAATTAAGAAGTTATTCCAGACAGCATTAAATTTCAAGGAAAATGTATTTTTAGAAAAATGATCTTGAATAGCAAATTACCTCGATACTTACATGAAGAAAGCCAACGTGGAAAACACACCGCACGTGTGGAAGGCGTGGTTCAGCTGCTCTGGCTTAGGGTAGACCACAGCTGCATCAATCATTATCCACCAGCCTGTGAAAAACTTGAGAGAGCGCAGGCCATTAAAGCGCCACTAATACTCTGTCACCCACTCTTTAACAGGCCTTCTTCCTAAAGACCATTAATAAAACAAAATAATCCCTCTTTGAGCTCTAGATGTTGAAATATAATAGGAAGCCCTTGTTTATTCTTTACTGCCTTTCAGACACACATGACTGATCAAGACCATGAAAGAGTCTGACGTTCTGCTCTCAATGCCTGATAAAAAAATGACCATGAGAATGAAATGCCTGCTTCTTTAATCCACCTAATTCTATGTATCCAAAGCTCTCTTAAAGAACCTCCAACTAACAAACTACCCGATTACCTAATAATCTCTCATCTGTCTAGAGAATGTTTTATTTATCCAAGCACTGCTGCTTCCAAAACCGAGCTGCAAGCTTACCAAGAGGCTGCCATCATGTCTCCAAAACTATTTAAGCTGCGATAGTCTATAAACTATGTAATCTGAATACTGTAAAAATCGCTGAACACGAGTTTGCAAAATGCAATGTTTTTACCTAAACTAATCTCAATAGCTTTTTATTTAAAAAAAAAAATTATGTATTTAATCATACAGAACTGGGCACAGGCCAGAGGTGCAGGAGGCGGTGAGAGGATTTGCCGGAGACAGAGTGGGGAGCAGAACAGGTGGACTGACAAAGCACACTGCTGAGGGGAGCAGCAGGCGGGTCAGGAGAGGTCTCCCATGCCATGTGGATCACCTCCAGGGCAGGCGGGGATCGAACTCATGCTGAAATGGCTTCAGCTTCTTAGTGCTGCGTTTTAACCCGCTGCGCCACTAGAGGGAGCCCAAGCTCAATAGCTTTAACGTAGACAAAGTGATAAGAAATTTTATAAACAAGTGCATGTGAAATGACTATTAAGGAGAATAAAAAACAGAAATATCTAAAAGAACTCTGCATGCATATTGCATCGCAAGTCTCTCCAGTTCCTACTCTGCTTTATTTTTTTTCTATCAGCAACATATAAAACTGTATGTTGCAAGAGATGAATGTTTAAAGTGTAACAGATATTGAAATCTGCATCAAAGAAACAGTGGGGAAGAGCAGTTGACAGAACACTAAAGCTGGGAACAATACTGTATCATAACCTGGAACTAGAGGAATGATATTAAGTTTAACTAATTTACAGTCAAATGAAGCCAAATAACTTTATTTAGTACTGGTATGTGGAATGCTGATATTTATATAAAACAGTGGAGAGGGCCCTCCCTGGTGGCACAACGGGTTAAAGTGGTTAAAGCACAGCACTATGAAGCTACAGCAGCCACTGTAGCATGAGTTCGATCCCCTGCCAGGGAGCTGGCCCACATGGCACAGCAGACCTCTCCTGTCTCCCCCACTGCTCCCCTCAGCAGTGTATTCCAGTCCATCTGCCTGTTCTGCTCCCCACTCTGTCTCTCATGGATCCTCTCACCTCCCCATACCGATGGCCTATACCCCAGCTCCGTATGCATAAATAAGTAAAATCTTTTAAAACAAAACAACAGTGACAAATAGTCCAAGGATATTCCCAGTCTAAAGGAACCAACATTAATTTTCAGGGCAAAAAATGAGGCATAAAGACCACCAACCAGACCCTTCCACTTACCAATATACCTGCTACCACAGAAGCCACGGCGTTTCTCCTCTCACTCCAGTCAATACATTCACATTCTGGCCAACGGAAATTATCCAGGAAGCCTGCCATTTTCACCCCTTAAGTGTGGGGGGGGGTTCATTAAATACTCTTTAAAAAAAAAAAGGACAAAAAAATAATCTCGGGAATTGCTTTTAAGAAGAAGTACACCTTACTCCTTTCTTAAGGCATTAAGCACAAATTTAGTGAAGGTCCTATTCTACCACATTTAAGAAGAAAAATGAATACTTGATGAATCCCTCTTGAGATGAACTGAAGGCTATGCTAGTGACCTTCCTGGTGCACAAGGGGTTAAGTCTCAGCACTATGAAGCTATCAGCAGTCACTGCAGCATGAGTTCAATCCCCTGCCCAGGAGCTGACTCACACGGCTGGCAGAACTCTCCTGCCTCCCCCACTGCTCCCCTCAGCAGTGTACTTTGTCTGTCTGCCTGTTCTGCTCCCCACTCTGTCTCTGGTGAATCCTCTCAAACCCCACAACTCTGGCCTATGCCCCAAGTCCTGTGTGCATAAATAAAATAAACCTTAAAAAAAAAAAAGACTATGCTAAACACAAGGCACAAGGGAGAGCTCACTATTTACTAAATGAGTACAGTGGTTTTAAACATGTCTGCAAATTCTTTGGTGCTTCTCCTATTGAAAGGCTCTGGCCCATGTCCCTCCCTTTGAGCTTAGGCCAACAATACAGACTGGAAGACCAGTAAAATAGGCAAAGTGATGCTGTGTAACCTGTGCCATGCAATTTCTGAAACTAGATCAAGAAAGGCAATGCAGCTTCATAGCAGGTTCTCCGCACACCGATGCTGAATTCCTGATACTATGTAAGAAACCAAGGCCACACTGCTATGAGGAGACCACAGCCCACAGCCCTGGGGAGGTCGCGGCCAACAGTGAGCATCAACTGCCAGATATGGAGGCTGGCACTTCTGGGTGACTGCTGTTGAAGAGAGGATTTAAAATGCAGTCCAGGACCCTCCCTGGTGGCGCAATGGGTTAAAGCACAGCACTATGAGGCGATCTGCAGCCACTGCAGCATGAGTTCCATTCCAGGCCAGGGAGGTGACCCACATGGCATGAGACCTCTTCTGACCTGCTGCTCCCCTCAGCAGTGTATTTCAGTCAATCTGCCTATTCTGCTCCCCACTCTGTCTCTAGTGAACTCTATCACACCTATACGTCTGGCCTGTCCCCCAGTTCTTGTATGAGTAAGTAATTTTTTTTTTAATGTGGCCCCCGCCCTCTCTGGTGGTTCAACAGGTTAAAGCAGAGCATAAGAAGCTAAAACCCTGGAGGTGATCCACATGGCGCAGCAGACCTCTCCTCACCCGCCTGCTGCTCCCCTCAGCAGTATACTTCATCCATCTGCCTGTTCTGCTCCCCACTCTGCCTTGGGTGAAGCCTCTCACTGCCCCCGTTGACCTGTACCCCAGTTCTGTATGCATAAATAATAAATCTTAAAAAAAAAAAAGCGGTCCATCCACACAATGGAATACAAATTCAGCAGTAAAAATGAAGAGTACTGGTACATGTTGCAACATGAAAAACAACAAAAACATTATGCTAACTAAAAGACAAAAGGCCACATATCATATGATTTCATTTATATAACGTGTCCAGAAGAGGCGGATTCTATACACAGAAAATAAGTCATTGCGTTGGGGGGGGACAAGGGGGTGAGTGACAGCTACTGGGCACAAGCTCTAAAGCTGACATGTGGCAATGACTGTGATAACTCTACAAATGGACTAAAAATCACTGAGGTGCAACATTTAGAACAGGTAATGTTATTCTATGTACATTTTAATCTTAATAAAGAGTTTTTTTTTAGGATAAAATTAAAATACTTTCAGGTAAACAAAAATAAAAATAATTTAGCACCAAATCTGGACCCACAAAAGTATTAAAGAAAATACTTCAGAATGAAGGCAAGGCCACCAGTGAGGAAAGAAAAGCACCAGAAATGATCACTGTATGGGCAAATGTTTTAAAACTTCCCTCTTTTCTTTCCTTATTTAAAAAGCAATGATTTCAGGCAAACATTATAATACTATGTAGGATATCCACAAAGATGAATTCTTTCTCAATACTTTGCTAGCTACATTTTCAAACACTGTGCATAAATATAGTTTTAGGTGTATTTCATACCACTCGTAATGGGTTAAATTATTTATCTAGAAAAAAAAAGTTCAATAAATATACCACAAAAGGTCCAAACACTGGAAAAACAGATTAGGAGATACTATTTACAAAGGATTTATATCTCCAGTGTGTGACTAACTCAGATATTAGTAATACTAAAATAACACAATTTTTATTGTGCAAAAGACAAATGAGAAATGGGCAAAAAACTATAACCAATGGCCAAAAGAGCATTCACCATCATTACTCATGAGGAAAATAGGTAAAATTAAAAACACTGACAATGTTAGATACTGGTGAGCTTGTAGAACAGTATCTGGGCTAGAACTTTCACACATTCCTGGTGACATTTCACTACATATTATAATAAATGTAAAAATAAAACTCCTCAATATTCCAGCAACTATGTTTCTGATGTTTCTGACATATATGTGTATTTGACCGTGTGTAACTTTTATACACAAAACATTAAGATTTTATCATTCAAATATGCTTCAGTTGTACTAAGTCTTACATGTTTGCATTATAGGCACATTTCATCAAGCTATTCCTCAAACATGGCAATGAGGAGCTATTACAGGTTAAATATTAACTGGTTAAAATACAGGAAGGTCACCATGAATTTAAGACAATGTCTAAAGGTTAAAACAAAGTCTTATTTCCTATTGTAAAATTCCTCATATTGTAAAATTTCCTCATAAAAAAATTTCCTCAACCTGTTAGAAACAGTTCTAAAAGAAAATACATAGCTATTTCCATACCAATTAATGAAATGTAATAGACTCCCCCTTCTTAGGGCTTATATTTGAGGTCTGGAGATGAGGTGGGGCAAAGAAGTTTCAACTAAATCTATACAATAACTGCACACACAAATGCAGTCACACAAACAACTGCTATGTGGAAATGCACAGGATGTTAGCGATCTGTTTAGAATAGGGGGAAAGCCTCTCTGAAGAAGTAATATTTGCTAAAGTTCAAGAACATATTGATGTTTAAAAGCTGAGTAGAGTTGATTAGACTAAGGAGAAGCAAAAAATGTTGATCAGGGCCCTCCCTGGTGGCACAGCTGGTTCAAGCACAGCACTAAGAAGCTAAAGCCACTTTGCATGAATTCAATCCCAGCCGGCCCTGGAGGTGACCCACATAGGCAGCAGCCCTCTCCTGACCTGCCCGCTGCTCCCTTCGACAGTGTACTTCGTCCATCTACCAGTTCTGCTCCCATCTCTGTCTCTGGTGAATCCTCTCACTGCCCCTGCACCTCTGGCCTGTACCCCAGTTTTGTACGTACAAATAAATAAATCTTAAAAAAAAAAGAGGTAGATCAGGGAGCTGGCAATTATAGGCATTAGAGTTCATCTGTCCCTTTGGTACCAACAAGGAAGCAGCAGCTAGTCCAAGAAAATAAGCATATAGTAAGTTAGTGGGGCAAATGCCTTGGGACAAGCCTGAAGTGGACAGATAAGGACAGGTCACAATGGGGATTAATGTGGACCTCATTAAGGATTTGGAGTTACACTGAGCTATAATGGAAAAGCAGAGTGAAGAACTCTGACGTGAAGAGACAGGCACCAAGAGCCTAGTCACTATGTTAACATCTAGGAGCGGAAAGGGCTGGTCTAACACAAGAAATATCACTGACTTTTACATGGATTTTGTTATTGATAGTTATAAAAAGATAAGCGTTTTTTATTATTACAGTCTTGACTACATGGAAGCTGACAATACTAACACTGACTCCCTGGCTTAAACTTTAAACAAGTGCACAATATTTAATTTAAGATAATAGGCCCTTGGAAACATCATAAAGGCAAAGACTACTTAGAGAAAATCTAAATATTCAATAAGAGTAAACGCTTATGTAGTTTACTTACACAGACATTAAAAATTATTTCTGAAAACCATTTAATGGCATGAATAACTGGCAATGACTACTATTAAGTGAAAAAAATCAAGCTAGTAAACTATTGTAGCACTGTTCATGTAACAGTGGTCTGAGTAAAGGTTTCCACAAACATCAAAATCCTGAATTAGGGCTTCCCTGGCGGTACAGGGGTTAACTATCAAGCTATTGCTAGCCACTGCAGTATGGGTCAGAACCGTCTGTCCACCACCTCTGTCTCTTGTGAATCCACTCAAACCCCCAACACCTTTGGCCTGTACCCCAATTCTTGTATGCATAGATACATTTAAAAATCTTTGTTAAGGCCCTCCCTGGTGGCGCAGCGGGTTAAAGCATAGCACCAAGAAGCTAAAGTCACTTCAGCATGAGTTTGATCCCCAAGCCTAGAGGTGACCACATGGTGTGGCAGACCTTTCCTGACCCGCCCACTGCTCCCCTGAGCAGTGTACTTCGTCAGTCAGTCGGCCTGTTCTGCTCCCAATTCTGTCTCTGGTGAATTATCTCACAGCTCCTGCACCTCTGGTTATAGCCCAGTTCTGTATGAGTAAATAAATAAATCTTAAAAAATAATCTTTTTTAAAAATCCTGAATTTCCATTTCCAAGTTGAAAGGCTTTCCTTCAGTCAAATGTCCAGACTCTGTTCATCCATCTCATGATTGGCTGTTAAATGCTATGAGTGTTAGACACTCGTATATAAAATCAGTGTAAAGAACAGTCTCCTTAGGGTCAGTGTCAGAAGGGAGACTATTTGCATTACAACATAGGATACAAAAGTGCACAACAGAAATATGGGGGCGGGGGTGGTTTACAGCTGTAGGACACAGCTTGAGAGATGAGGCCAGTTTGAAAGAAGAGAAACAAATTTAGTTAGATTTTAAAGCATGAACTGGAGTTTGACAGATGAAAATGTAGGGCTAAAATACGTAAAATTAAATAGGCTCAAGAGGGAACAGGGTAGAATTTAAGGTAGTTCAAAGAATGGAGGTGATTAACCTATGTGGGAAAGAACATGAAGGATTTTCAACCCACTCAAGTCTGAACTCCACCCTCTAAGTCAGAGACTGGCAAC